AGCATCATGAAAGAACCATGGAAGAMTATCATGTGCTACTTACTGTCACACTCATGCACACAGCTCTGAAAGTGACTCTCCTGAGGGACAAAGAAAACTGTTATAGAGGCAAAGCAGCACAACATTGGCGTCTATCCCCAAGCCTCCTTCCCTGTTCTGTTCTGTAGTTGATCTGATGTAACCTCGATGAGACCAGTAATTTTAGTAGGCATGTCTGCATTATCCGACACATTTCCTCTGCTCCCTGCACCTGAGGTTGTTGAGTCACATGAAAGGGTTTCCTGTGGAGCATCAGCTTACAGCATGGGGAAATACCTCCCTTTATCATACAGCAGTACATTTGCTGCATGACATGAGTGATTCAACAGCTGTACATTTTCCCTGTCAAGTGTGGAGTTCCCCCAGTATTTTCCTACTCATTGATACTATATTGTTGGAATAAATCCAGTTTCCTGTGCTTTAAACTTCTCCTTGGCAGTAGCTAGGGCTCCTTGGTTGCTAAGTTTTCCCACACTTAGTTATTTACATGCCCACTGCTGCTTGCTGTTCTGCTGTTCAGAGTGGGCAGTCACTCCTCTTGCATTCTCTGCYGAGCACTGAGGCCAGAAGTTCTTCCCTTAGCCTGACACCCATTCTCAGAAATGACTGATATGAGTTTGGCAGCACAGCTCTCCAACAAGAGCTGGTGGAGCCTCATATAATAAGAATACAACACTCATTCACTAAGTTATTTCCTAAAATTAATAAAGYATTCTCCTATTGTCTGTGCTTGCTTGCTAAAAGGAAAAAAGTACTCTGAAATCAAACTGCTACTGCTCAATGTTGTATCAAGAAAAATATGCCTCAGCAGGTTGCCAGTATTTGTTGAAACTAGACATTTTTATAAAAAGTTAAATTCATTTCTTTTTTTCATATGTTGTACAGAATCATGATAGTTTAGAGAAGGCAATAATTTATGTTTCCTTGTTTCAGCTGACTTTTTCTCCCTAGATGAGATTTTCTCCCAATTAACTGTAATTCCCTAGCAAAATGTTTTTACTTTTATTTATTTTCTGTTGAACACGGAATGATAAATTTGAAATGCTGCACCTGGGAAAATATGTAAGTACTGTGTGATACAAATTTGTGTTTAATCACAAGAGTGCAAAATGTGTTTGATCATCTGAAATGTGGTATTTAGCACTGAATACAGATTTCAGGTGTACTCAGTAACTAGAGTAGAAGTTTGGTGGCAACTGAGGACAAAGCTAAGATTAGAAATGAATTGTGTGTTAAGGCAGTAGAGTTAAACACACAAAGGGTGTGTTTATGTGGGAAGAGAGGTTATAATTGCAACCTTTAACTAAGACAGTAATGCAGGATGACAGTAACAATCAGTGTGTGTATGTATGTCATACAAATTGCTTTTTCAATATATGTATTTAAATACTCTGGTAACTACAGGGGATTCCCTGACAATAGCTGAGCTCTGTATCAAAAGATTCTTGGCCATTTATGATTTCTCCCAACTCACATCCTGGTTTTCCCAAGAAACTCATCTGTGCAGACCAAAAAGGAGCTGCTGCATGGTTTAGCTGTGTCCCTATATRAATGGAGAGAGCTTTAGAAATTAAAGTATACCTCAGCTTCTCAGATTTCTTGCCACAAAATGTAGCTATAGTCTAAGTACGTATATTGAAAAAGCATTTTACACTGAAGGTCAAAGGCCCCAATAGGCAAAAACATGGGGTGTCTTGCAAAGAGCAAAAAGGAGTGGAAGACAACTTTGGCCTTGGATGACAGGAAGGTGTTTGTACAGAAGGGAACATTTCCTCCACATGAAGCAGTAAAGGGAGTATGCACCTGTGTTAAATTATATTAAACAATTTCAAAACATGTTCAWGGAACCRTGGAAGTAATTTGAGATACTGGAAYATTCTGAGATTTAGGAAAAGGAACAAGGAAGATATAAGTTCAAGGTATTTGTTGCAGATGAATGAGTCATTCTGTGCATGTGTTGATATGCAGAAACCGCCCTAAYACCCATGGGAAATAATAATGAACATCTTCACTGGTCAGAAAGGAAAACAAAGATGTGATGATATTTCTGCTATGTGAGAAGGTTTGGATTGTTTGCTAGAGTTATCTTCAACTGGTAATAAATGCAACATTAAAACCATGGTAATAGGTGTCAAACTGAACTAAGTTGAAGTATTTTGTGTGGCTGATACAAAACATATTTTGATGCATTAATTGTTCCAGAGCAGAAATAATTAGGAACTAAAAATGAAAACAAGATAATATCAGTGGTAAAAGGYATACTTAAGGGWACAYAGTCTTAATACCCTGAAAATGTTGCATGTTGTACCACTTTGGGGGAAATACAGTAAGCTAAAGCTGTTGGTCAGATCTGACAATCAGTAACTTTGGAGAACTAGAACTATTTAACTCATCAAGAAGATATYATGTAAATACTTTTACTTATATAATTGTATTGGATACAGTACAATCATTTCACTGGGTGAAYGATGTGTTGATTTTGCTTGGCCTGGTTTTCGGTGGGGGGGGGACACAAAAATGGTTCCTGTAAGAKGCTGMTGGAARCTTCCACCATGTCCAGCAAAGCCAGTCTCTGATGACTCTAAGGATGGACATGCTGCTGGCCAAGGCTGGGCCAAATGGAGATGGTGRTAACACCTCTGTGATATCAAAACAAAGATGTACAGAGTTCCCTTCTGGCCAGAGAAGAGCAGGACATGAGAACATGTCAGGGAAACAGCACTGAGACACAAAGGTCAGTGGATAAGGAGGGGAAGGAGATGCTACAGGCACTGTAGCCAAATTTCCTCTGCAAGCCATGGTGAAGACCATGTGGAGCGAGTGGTCTCCCTGTAGTCCATGGGGTCCACAGGGGATGCAGAGATCTACCTGCGGCCCGTGGGGAAGGTGCCCATGGTAGAGCAGGGGGATGCCTGGAGGAGGCTGTGGTCCAGTGGAAGGCCTAGTCAAGAGAAGGAGCCCCTGCTCCCACGCTGGAGCAGCCTGTCCTTGGAGGACTGCACCCCGTTGATGAGTGACCCACGCCACAGCAGTTTTGGGAAGACTGCCTGCCCGTGGGAGGAGGCTCACCTTGCAGCAGCTTTGGGATGGCGACTGCTCGTGAGATGGACCCACGCTGGAGGAGTTCACGGAGAATTGCCTCCCGTGGGAGGGACCCCACGGAGCAGCAGTGGAAGGATTCCTCTCCCTGAGCAGTGGAAGATCCCAGGGATGAACTGACCAAAACCCCCATGCACTATCCCCCTGCACTGTTGGTGGGAAGGAGGAAGAAGTTGGGGGAAGAAAGGATGGCTTTAAGGGTTTATTTTACTTCTCATTATCTTCTTCTGTCTCTAGTAAAAAATTCATTTTGTAACTTAGTTGAGTCTGTTTTGCTTTTGGAGTGGCTTTTTTTTTCCTACTTCCTTAGCTCCATGAGCCCTTGGTAGGCTTTTTTTCTCTCCTCTGCCCAGCTGTGGCAGGGGAAAGCAGTGAGCAGCTGTTGTGGGTGCCTGGCATTTGTCCAGAGTCAAACCATGATAAACTGAAATTAGGAATCATGCAAAACAAAAGAAGAGCAGTTAATTATTGAAACTAACAATAACACAGTAAATTCTCCAGCTTTTCAGGTCTGTACCTTTGCCAGAAGACACGCATGCATAAAATGGATGCCATTTTGCTCTATGTAGGGATAAACAGTTGTATTGTTACAGTAATGCACAACATATCTAATAAGACCCAATATTCAGGATARTGAGGTTTTTACTTCTACTTTATTGTTTTAATGAAAGCAGCCTGGTTCATATTATTGCAAAGGAAAAAGACTAAGCCAAAAAGCCTTGAGAGATTAACAATGTTGAGAGAGAGCCTTCATGAACCAGGATATTGCTTAAAATAACGTTATATTAAGTGAAGTAACRTATTAAAGGAAATGTAAATATACATTAATATATGAAGATAATAATAGTACTGCATTTTAAGCTTTACTTTCCTAAGCTAACAATATAAAAGCAGTTTAACGTTTTCCACAGTAAATAAGTAAAATTGCTTAAGTCTTCCTTTTATATACATGAGTAACGGGAAATCTAAATGATTCAAGACAACACCTTAAATAAAAAACTATTTTCATGGAACAGATAAACATTACAAGTTATGTCCAATCAGAACTGTTACCTTGTAGGACTAGAGAATGTAAGACTAGAGAAACTACTGGAAATTCTTCAAATGCCAAGCACATAATAAAAAGAAGGCAAAGGAAAATGGCTATTGCTTGCTACTAYTTTAACAAGAATTTTTAATAAGTTGTCCTTTATATTGTCATTTTACCAAACACTGAGCACTTAGATGTTAGATGGCTGATACTAGTTAGTTAAGATCCTCTAGACAAAAAAATCCTTTATAGTCAATCATCTATAAAGGTTTCCTACTCCTTGAGGGTRACTTGCTCCATTTTAAAAGCTGTCCAGATGTAGTACTCTCTTTACCTACTCACTCCTCTTTGCCAACATCTATTAAACCAGTTGAAATCAGATTATATGAAGCCCAGTTCTGATCGTACTTGTTCCTAAGCCTTTTATAGTTGGATAGCCTTTGTCCTCTTTGTCCCCCAGGCCAGAACATCCTGACAGACTGTAACATMTTCTTATAAGAGTTTCCCACACAGCAAAATACAGGCCATCAAACCTCTCAGAGTTCCTTAATAAGTTGGAATAAAAAGGGATGTGAATAAACAATAAAAGAATTTTGGTCTCTCAGGAATGCAAGTATACACCAAYATGAATTTCTCTGTAGGAAAAGCAGTGTGTATCCCAACCATCAGAGACCAAATGAAATATAAAGGAACTTCCCAAATCTTGTTTGGTTGACTTCAAGCAAYTTTTTAGATAAAATTTTGAAAGCAATAGAAGTGCTGTAACTTTCTTCCTGAACAGCTAAGTTATTCCTGAACAGCTAAATTTGTGGCTATTAGTTTAGGCCACAAAATGAGAGAAAATTTTTAATTTAATTAATAAATCACTGAGGCCTGACACAGCTATCAGGTTATTTAAGATTTGTAGCATTTCCAGAAAAAAAAATCTCCACTGCCTGGAAAAGATTATCCACATGCTAGCTTTGTTAAGTTGCTTACATGATGTTTTGTAACTCTGTGACTCCAAGACACTTTCTCAGTTCTGCAGCCTTCTTCTCCAGCTGCTGAATGTTCCAGTGCCATTGYCTTTTATTTGAATGGATTTTGTTCAGTTGACAATGCAAACGTTTTAAAATAGCATCGTATCTCTTATTCTGTACCTAAAAAAAAMCCMMAAAAAAACCAACTTCAAAATTTCMTTCAAAACTTCAAAACTATTTACAGAGGTGGGTTCAGCTCACCTAATTCTGTTCAAGTGTACATCCTGACATTTGAGCAAGTCATTCCACATTTACTATCAGCTGCTGAAGAGACAGAGACATCTAGGAAGCCATTCATCTGACTTATTTTGGATGTTTGGCTTAGGACAACATGAATYATGACTCACTTTCCCATTAAGGAAAGAAAAGCTCTGTCCTACTAAGACCTTAAATSTGGAGTTCAATGTCAGTATCTACTCTGTAGATGTCTAAAATTTAACACAGGAAATACCACCTATTGTGACTCAGCACATCACAGCCATCACAACTCTGGCAAGGCTTTGCACACAGAAGATTTCAGGCTCCAGAATAAGAGGTGAGGAAGGAAGAAATTTTCATTCTTTGACAAACATGTTTGGGTATAAATGAGAACACAAATGAGGTAACCTTGWTGGCTGTAGTAGCACTTTGTAGCTCCACTGTATTTAAAATGGTACATTTCCCTTAGGCAGTACTGCAGCAATGCAGGACTCTGTCAGTTCTGCCCTCATTGCTGCCTTATGTAGAGAAGAATGGCTGCTGCGGACAATCCTCTGAAACTTTGCATTATGAAGTGTTAAAAGAATGAAACATTCACTACAATAAAGTGAAAATAATGGGCATTCCCTTAATGAAATTTGGGKTTACTGACCCTAGTTTAAATGGCATATGAGTGGTAGAGTACAATTACTCTTGTGTCTGCTTATTGAAGTATTATTACACTGTGTTTCAGATGCACATGATGGTGTACAGCTGCCAGTGACCTTCAGCAAATCTCACTGCCTAAATTTCACATATAACTAGGAAACTTCCTCACTGGTGTTCTACACTGCCTTTTTTATTGGTGATGGCTTGTCCTCCTTTATGTAACCTCACTCTGCACTACAATTGTTTGCAACTTTTTGAGGGACACTGTCAAATCCACTCATCTGAACGAGTGCTTAGGGCATCTGAACATTGCTAGGACTATGCCATATGACACTGAAACAYCTATGATCAATATCAACTGCTTTTTTTAGAAATGTGTCTCTAGCATCGTTACTGGAACAGTCTGCCACATCTGCTGAGGGAGGCAGCACTAATATGCTACTGAAGACAGGGCAGAGAAAACATTGCTCTTTTTATTGGGTCTTGCGTGCATGTAAGTCAAACACTAGAAAAAAAATGTCTCGGCACTCGTGGTACCTCAAGCACTGGGGTCGTTCAAGGACAGGATAGGCAAGCATCTGCCAAGAGTAATACAGTCACATACTGACACTGGAGAAAGAGGAGAGCAGGGGGATACACAGTCTTTTGGGTTTTTTTTAATTCTGATTACTTTTACATAATAACATTTTTTTTATTATTTGTGGATGTCTTGAATTACTCCTTATGACTGAAGCCTTGACCCTACACAGATAAACACCCTAATTTATTGTTGATATCCCTSACCAAGGCTAGGAGCAGGATCTGCTTTTCAAGAAATGGGTCATCGGGTTGGTGCTCAGGAAAGAGAGTAAGAGAAGGTACAGATTATGCTGGGTTGGAAGAGACCCATCAAGATCATCAATTCCAATTCCCTGCCCTCCACAGGACACCCCCAGATTCACACCATGTGCCTGAGAGTATATTCCAAATGCTTCTTGAGCTCTGTCAGATTGGTGCTGTGATCACTCCCCCGGGGAGCCTCTTCCAGTGCCTAACCACCCTCTGGGTGAACACCCTTTTCCTRATATCCAACCTAAAACTCCTCTGACACAACTTCAAGTCCTTCCCTTGGGTCCTGTCACTGTCACCACAGAGAAGAGATCAGTGCCTGCCTCTCTTCCCCTCATAAGGAAGTTGTAACTGCAGACAGGTGTCCCCTCAGTCTCCTCCAGGCTGATCAGACTAAGTGACCTCAGCCMCTCCTCACAGAGCTTCCCCTCAAGGCCCATCTTAGTTGCCCTCCTTCAGATGCTCCAAACAACTCCATCAGCTGTCAGCAGTCTGTAATTGAATTCCACCACTGCAGCTCAATAAAACCTCATTYCTGTGCCTAGTACCTCATTTTATTCCTGTTTTGAGTATTTTTTCCCAAATTGCGCTGAGGACTGCTGCATATAAATGTCTCTGTCTGTCCAYTGTCAGTTCTTATACTAAAAACTGGACTGTTTTCAGGAGAGTTCTTAATAGAAAATAATACCCTGAAAGGTTTTGGGTTTGAATCTGCTTCCTTCTGAGACAAAAAGATCATATAATCCAAACAACTGAAGAATAGGTTAACCTTCACTATTTGATTAAATTGATTTTGGTAACAGAACAGAACATTATTTTTAGGCTACATAATTTGAGTTCAGAGAACTTTCTTAGRAGGATGTTGCCTTGGTAATAAAATACTTTCTCAGATGTTGAATAGCAGACCTATTCTACAGMAGCTGTGTTTTGTTTTTCAGGTTAAAAATTCTCTCATTTGCTATCTCATGAAAATAAATTATTCTCTATTCCTCCTACGTTTCACAATGGGCAATAGACCTAACCTTAAATCAGTTAATCTTTATCAAGCTTTGCTCATTAAATTTTGTGGCATGTATTTGAACTGACAAAATAAACAGTATGAGACTTGCAAATTAAAAATTATCTAAACACACAGAGTATTTTAGTAAGGAACAAAATGTAAATGTAGTTCCATTATTTAAAAGAGAAGGTTTGAACCACTGATCAGATCAGAATTTTATCTTGTCAGAYAATTAGGAGCTACTGTGTTATTCCTAATTTAATGTCAGCTCAAATTAGGGAGATTCATGGGAAGTCCATTTTCTTGGTGCAATTGGTTCTTCCACTGATGAATYATCAAGTCACAAACAATCAAGTCAGCAGTGAAATGTAAAGTATTTCAGAAGTATTGCAGAAAAATTTAAAATGTGCATTTTGCTTTACTACCATTCAGTGACCTCTTTTTTTTCCAGGGAATCACTCCAAAAGTTCACAGATGAACTCCTTCTCAAAATACCTCAGAAAAAAAATGTACATAACAATTAAGCTCTGAATTTTAGAAAGACTATCAGGACCCAGAATTTAAGACGGTATCATCACTGCAGATACTTTAATAATGGATAGCCAGTAAAGGTATATAAAATACTTCAAACTTCATTCACACCATGTACATTCTGCCAGGAGAAATGCAATTAAATTTTATTCAAATGACTCACCTCAATTTCTTTTCTAAGCTTAGCATGCTTTTTTTTCTCTTCTTCCAGCAAATCTGTTTTTTTATTGATGAAATCTTTTAATGTTGTGACTTCACTTTCTAAAAGTGTGATTTCTTCCTGCAGATCCAAGTCAAGATACAGAAATGCACTCCTTGAAAGGTTACACAGTACATCTATATCAATTAAACTTTTTAATGTCTCATTTTAACAGTCTCAATCAATAGAGATGAAATAAAGATCTATAATAAACAATTTATAATACACCTATTAATATTAATAAAAAAATAATTTTGGAAGAGTGATTAATTATTAAAAATTTTATAACATGGTTTTAGACCTGTAAGAATATATCCTCTTGATCTGAAATATGAAAACTATGACAATTTTGATGGTCTTTGTTTAAAATGTAATTAATAGCAAAACTGACAAATGTTTAATGTAATATTTGAGTTATATTTTTCTTTCTCATAGGAAAAGACAGTGTTTATTAGTCTTTATTTATCAGTATTGAAAGATTTGCTATACAAACAAATTTTCACCAATTTACATTACTAGAATACACCAGATTATCAATAATGCAAGTTCCATCAGAGTTGAAATCTGTGATCCCAATTCAACTTTGTGTTGTGTACTTGTGTTTGTCTATATTGGCAAAATTTTGTGGTGAAAAAATCCTACGTTTGTTTTTAGTAAAAATTGCAATTGGGTCAAGTAAAAACAACAGCGTTAGATTAGAAACAAACATATTTTTCCTATATTCTTATTTCTATCACCGTCTCACCAAATCCACCACCTGCTGGCAAACAGCTCAAATTTATTYTGTTGACAGCAAAGTTTAAAGAATACTGTGTTCTTACCTGAAAAATGTAWCAATATGGAAATCTTCCACAGAACTCTGAACAGTCCATGTAAGTTTATCCAAAGATAAAGTTTAATTTACAGCTCTGTAATATTTTCATATTTAAATTCAATCGATCACATGTATAAACCTGTCTTTTATAACATTATACAGAAAACAATAGATGATATTTTTCATTGCATAGTGAAGTAAAAATTTCTTCAATTAATGCAGCATTATAAATTACCTATATTACCTTGTAGTCAGTACCTCATAAAATACAAACATTAGACAAAATAGTCATATTATATAAACTATGTCATTATTATTTCACATAAAAGGAAAAAAAATAAAAAGGAAATATAGTACCTGCACTTGTTTAATAACAGATCCCTCTGGATTCTGGAAATCACGCATTAACTCCTCTTTCTTTGTCTTTAATTCTTCAACCACAGCTTTCTTTTTATCAAGTTCAATCATAACTGGCATTTTACTTTCCATCTCCCAAAAGAGGTGTTTATGATCCTTTATTTTCCCTCGATACTCATTATTTCTTGCAAGTATCATCTCAAACTCCTCTTGTACTGTTTCTGCATCGCATCTCARCTTTAAATTTTCAGAATACAGGGCTCTGACTTGGGCCTCCAGATTTTCACACTGATATTTTGTCACTTCTATGGCATCATCTTGCAGATGTATTTCYCTTTCTGTTGTCTTTGTTTCTAACAGAACAGAATTCATTTCTTTTTCTAGTTCCTGAAGCTTTGCCTGTAAAATATTTCAGTGTTCACTTAAAAATATTTTTGGGGGAAGAAATGAGGTGTCTAGTTAAACACTGTAATCCATATTTATTCAATAGTCTTCTTTTTCACTTGTCTAATGTGGTTTGAATGRAAAATAATTAGAGTTCCATTTAATAATATCATGAACTTAGAAGCACATTGCAAKAATACTATCTTAGTCTTCTGCCCTTAGATTGAATCTAAAATATGAAACAAGATCTCCTTAAACTCACTTTAAGTTCTTCACATTTGCAAGATATATAAAATGTGGCAGATCAAATCCAATCCTAATGTTTTCTTACAGCTGAAATGTGGTGAAATCCCAACCAGACTAGAAATAACTAAAGATGCCAAAAACCCCTTGCAATCCCCACAAAAACACATACAAGGGYGTGTCAGGTGAAGGAGCTTAACTAGATTGTTCAAATGAAGTTTTTAATCCTGCCTTCATCACRGTGTAGTTGAGAGTTGAATTAATCCCAGCTATTTTCAACGCCGCAAGAAATAGGGATCTAATCCTAAAAAGGCCTCTACATTATCTCAAATGATGAGAAGTGAACAAAACCAGGAAGTAGTACTTCAACTTACTACATCACAAGAAACCACAGAATCATCAGGGTTGGAAAGCACCTGTAATTACCTAGGACTTAAAATTTCTGTGTGTCTTTTTAAGAACAGATACATGTTTTTAAATTCTTTGATCACAAACTATTGTTGCAGTATCATCAGACTATATTATGGGATATAAGAGAAATCTTCTTGTAAAGTGTGGCCAGTCCACTGACATTCCTAAGCAATACAAGCTTTCACTSCTACTTCAGAAATGTTATCTTCGTGCGAAATTTGAAATACCAATTATTTCTGTTGTAGAGTTATGCACAGATGTTGTAATTGGAATTCTATGATCTCCATTTGCATTCTTCCATGGTCAAAAATGCTAACTGGTATGATCTTTTCTCAAGACTTAAGCTTCTCAATTGAAATTTGATCGTGAAGGTTAAATAATAACTGAAAGCTTAATAAATTCTCTGAGAGATGAGAAATAATCATACAATCTTCACAAAACTACACACATCCAATGTTCTACAAAACAGGACTGAATATTACCAGTATTTAATGATGATTTAGGATACCCACTTCAACCATAAGAGGGGAAAAACATCTTGTGTCAAAAAAGATACTAAGAAAAGAATTTATATAGTCTGGTGAAAATCTGAAAAAAAAAAAAAAAAAAAAAAAAAAAAAAAAAAAAAAAAAAAAAAAAAAAAAAAAAAAAAAAAAAAAAACAACAAAAAACCAAAGCAAAGAACAAATAAAGGTTTTTAAATCCTTCCCCCATAATTTCTTAGAAAATTACCATTAAAAAAAATTTTAAAGCTCTAACTTTGCATTTATTTGTTGTGGGTTTACTTTGTGGTTCAGTTCAGTATTTTTGTTTTCTTTTGCCAAGTAACAAACAGAAGTTTTACCTGCTCTAATGAAGTCTTAGCTGTGTTAYAGCCTTACAAACAACAATACACACCCACAGTTTGGCTGAGCATAGGAGCCACTCACAGAACAGAATAGGTGCCTTACACTTAAATGAGCCCACTCATCAGCTTCCCCTGTTGATGTGAATAYTTCCTCATCTAATGAAAAAGAAATTTATTTAACTTCTCTAAAGAAGGTTTATTACCTGCAATTGGAAAAGAACTGTTTTGCATTTTCCTATGTCTGACAGCTGTGAATGCTGCTGCTCTGCAACTTGTTTTACAACTTCAGCTAGTGACTGGGAATTTTGCGTGGCCATTTTAGGCAGAAGCGAAGAACTGGAGACATAAGAAATAAGTGAATTGTTTTATCTTCATTCCGTTTAGTTACCGTTGATAAAACAATATTAAGAGTTTTCCTGTGGGATGGSAGATCAATATATTATTTCATTTGCTTCATTTTTAATTAGCAAGAACAGGTTATCCAAAGCTAATGACTAAGAGTTACAACACTTCTTGCAGGATCTCATAAAATAAATTACTGCGATGTTCATCCGGCTTCTCTGCAGGGCAGATCCTCAGTTTATGAGCACAGTCATAACTYTTAAAGAGTTCCTTAAGAGCATCTTTAAATGCCTGAAGCCGAGCTCTGGCCTTTCTCCCGAATATCCCGAGTTACCGCGGCCGCCACACGGCACCTGCAGCGCTCCCAGAGCCGGCCCCTCAGGCCGCCTGTCCCGCCCGGGCCTCAGGGAAACCAGGGGCACGGGGAGCCGGGAAAGAGGCTGATCCCGCCGGGAGGGGGGCTGATCCCGCCGGGAGAGGCACTGATCCCGCCGGGAGAGGGGCTGATCCCGCCGGGAGAGGGGCTAAACCCGCCGGGAGGGGGGCTAATCCCGCCGGGAGGGGGGCTAATCCCGCCGGGAGGAGGGCTAATCCCGCCGGGAGGGGGGCTAATCCCGCCGGGAGGAGGGCTAATCCCGCCGGGAGAGGCGCTGATCCCACCGGGAGAGGCACTGATCCCGCCGGGAGGGGGGCTAATCCCGCCGGGAGAGGCACTGACCCCGCCGGGAGAGGCGCTGACCCCGCCGGGAGAGGCACTGACCCCGCCAGGCGAGGCGCTGATCCCACCGGGAGAGGCGCTGATCCCACCGGGAGAGGCGCTGACCCCGCCGGGAGAGGCACTGATCCCGCCGGGAGAGGCACTGATCCCGCCGGGAGAGGCGCTAATCCCGCCGGGAGCCGGAGGGAACACGGAGGGAACACGGCGGGACCGACCCCTTAGGAAATACGCGGCTGCCTCGCCACTCGCCTCGGTGGTGCCGCCCGGCTCGCCCGTGCCTGGGGCCGTCCTGCTCAGCGCCCTTTGCTCCCAAGTTCCCCGAGTTACCCCRCCCATTGTATTAAACTGCACTTGCTGCCATCATTTGTCGTGCGGAGAACATCAAGTTCTCCCGAGCAGCGCTGGGTTACGAAGGAGACGTGGCCCAGTTTCTCCTGGCCTATGCCTTGCCCTGTTCTAYAGCCACGGGCTTGCCTTTGGCCCACTTGACCTCTATTCCTGCTAAAGGATTTTAACCCTAAATCGCACTATTTTTATAATTCCATTATATAACTTAACTATTTAATAATTTTTATTTTTTAATTTAACTTTAACATAGAAATATTTCAAGCAACTTTATATATATAATATGCATAATATTAAACAACATACATATATAAACATACAAATATTTATATATATTTTTGTAACAATTGTTTTATAATCAAATTGCTCATCTCTGCATATGACCTGTTTATGTCATCCCTTTTTTGAAGTGGCATAAGCTGAATATAATATTTCAGCTGGAGATGTCAATTTGTCATTTTTCAATATTGTTTYGTACCCTGAATATTTTCTGACCTTTTCCTTCTCAGCATTCTACACCAAAAATAACCCCAGTAATTAGTTTTACTTCCTTTGTCTGGCTGAAGGAAAGAACATTATTGCRTTGGTTTCTCTACACCAAGTAGTTCTCCTGTTAATTTTTAATGACCCAGCTCAGACACATTTGGCAGTGGGGTGGAAAGCCTCAGAGATGACCGGTTTCTGCAMACTTCAGGAAAGGACATGTCTGGGTGGGGAAGGACAAAATATCCTCATTGGTTCCCTTCGGGAGGGAGAATCAGGAGGATTCAGCTCTCATCCCCCTGCCCAGCACATGCTGAAAGGAAYAGCAGGAGGGCAAACGGCAGAGCACTCCCTGTGTGTGTTCAGGGCCTGGCAGAAATGTAGATTTTCTGTGGTTGCAGGGAAAGGAAGAACAGGAAACAGTGATCCTAGGAAACCAATTTTGATCAATTCTTCTGTCCATTAAAAAGTTACCATCCTTTTTTTCTCGTCTTTTTCTTCCATGGTCACATACTTAACTGTCACGACAGTGATTTTAACACAGCTGAGAAAATGTATGTATTATCATTTGATTCTTGCACAAAGCCTGTTACAAATCCCTCATTTCCTTTCTTGCCTTTTAACCTTTGCATTATCCTATCAAAGGATTAAGACTTTTTCACTAAGCTCTGTGAAATTTCCGACTGTTACAAGGAGAAATTGCCATCCTCATTTGGGGCCTGTGGCCGCAAAGGCTGACACCGCATAATCTCCCTATCTGGGTCCGGAATATACTTTTTTTTTTTTTTTTTCCTTGACTGGCTGCCAGATTCTTCACTGGAACATGCAGTTACAGCTCAGAAAAGGAAATTCCTTCACTCTGCACRAGTTTTCCTTGAGTGTCTTGGCGTTGTTGCCCTGTTCCACTGCAGCGTGTGTGTGTGAGCTGGTGTGGGGCTGTGCAAAGCTGGCATAGCAGAAGGGGTGATCGCAGCAGAGAGTTGGAAGGTTGTGCAAAGCTGGCATAGCAGAAGGGGTGATCGCAGCAGGGAGTTGCATGGCAGGGTTCACGCTGCTTCCGCGTTCAGCAGGCTCTTGTTAATCATGTTGGTGCCTTGCGGTGCAGTTTGTTCTTTCCGGTGGAATCAGCAGCGAAGCAGGGTCCCATCAAAAAGAAGAAATACAGGTTCCCACTACTGCCTTACACAGAATAGGAGTTTCCAGCTTGTACAAATCTGCTCCAAGACTGAAGGAAGTGAGATATATAAAGCTGGAAATGTCTGTGTATTTTATCAGAGGGTACCTTTCAGAATTTAAAAGGATTATCCACCTGTGTAAGTAAACTCTTGTGTTTATAAAAACTGCATGTTCTTCATTATTCTCATTGTATTTGGTGATTTCTGTTTCTTCAACTTTGCCTAAAAAAAACAAGGTTAAAAGAGGAAGAATGCTTTATATTAATCCAGTTTAAGAGACTTAAATGTATTTCTCACCCCCCCCCCCCCCTTTTTAGGATTTTCTTTTTTGTATTTGCTCATGTTGAAATTTTACACGTGCTCTTAGCCCTGTTAATTTGGTCATTTGGGCTACTTTAATGACCTATTTTCTTTCTCAGGGCCTTTCTCTCTGGCAGATGTTAAATATCTCTTGCCATTTTAATTATCAAAAAATTATGTCTGTTCTCTCAATTTCTCTACTAATATGAGATGATCAGCAGGATTCAAAGATGCAGGAAATTGTCAGCAATCTTGTCTTGGCCAACAGTGYACTTTTAAAATTAGATTTCTGGGGTTCTTGAAAATTGCGTTTTTGCATCTCTTTTCTACCCTGGGCTGTCTCTTCTCTGCAGCTTGGTTTTATTTCCTTCATGATTCTTTTTCTATATTCACTTTGCTTTTTTACTTTTTGTGCTTGTTASTTACCCTCCTCACCTCTCTTATTGATCATTTTCTTTGATCTCCTTTTTCTTGATATCTGTGCAAGAGGATCTCATTAACCTCCAAATGTTTGTGCTGACGGTTTCAGGGAGTCAGAAAATAGCTAATGGGCAGCCTTGGCTTCAAGTTTGTGCAAGTATTTGTCTTGAATTATGTACTAAAATGATCAACTCGTTAATATTTTTTTTTTTGCATGTGGCTTCCCATGTTGTAGGGCATGTTGGTTAAAACCTGAATAACCATGAATGCATTTCCCATAAGCTGAAACATTGCCGTGCTTGGAAGCCTGTATTTTGAGGTGGGGTTTTTGGGAGCAACTTAGAAAGTAATCAGTTTTGCTATGATTGTAAGCAAATTTACTCTGACCGTCCTCACTAGGGCTCTGATGCAAAGCTGGAAGGATACAAGGGTGAATCAGCCCCATTGTTCCTATGTGTACATCCCAATAATTGCCCCGKGGAGTTTTTGCAGTGCATACACACTTAATAACAATGTAGGCAATTAACTCTTCCTCATCAAACACTTTCCTTCCACCCTTTCTTYGGTGATATTTTTCTGGGGAATTACRAGGACAGCAATGAACTCTATTTAYCTTCCTCTACTGAYTTAYCTGAAGTGGAGYAKTAATCTGTTTTTCCACTACACCCCTCAGTTGTACTGTCTTTCCTGGGACTGTTAGCTATACCTTGATTGGGATCATGTCACACTCAGACAGGCCTCCCACAGAGAGTGTCAGGGTAGGGAAGGAAATACTCTGATTTGCCAAGTCATGGTCTTTGGCGTGAGCATCTTTCAGCACTGTTTTCTTAGCAAGCTCTTTCTTCTAAAATCCATTATCAGCTGTGTGTAAATAATACTCTGAGCAAAATCAAGAGTCATAAATTCCTTGGCAGTTGCTTTTATCTGCTATCACATTTTGATACTTTCAGTTCACCTGTTTTGATAGTTGCTAATTAATCTTTGTAAGTGTTCAATTTGCAGAAAGGAAAACATCATGTTCAGTCAGGATTATTTTTCTTCCAGTCTGGGGGAAAGAACAATGAAGAAAATACAGAATGTTTTCTGTAAAACCTTCTCTAAACAAACTGCCCTTTAAAACCAGAAAGGTCTTTGACCTCTCATTTCARTGTAGAAACTCTGGGAATCCACTGTCAACCATAAAATGCCAAGGAGTACATCACATCTACCATAATGATAGGCCTCAAGTACACTCCGAGGTAGTATTTTGCAGGATAMTGGAGTGATGTGAAGCCAGACCATTCAAGTGGTTGCAGGAGAATGAAGTCTTGGGGCAGGAAAATAGGGCCACACATTATTCGATGTGGTTAGCTCCAGTAGCAGAGCATTGATTTTGAAGACTTAAAAGACTTTGAAGACTTCAAATTTTTCATTCCTGCAAACAAATGAATTTTCCTACAAGTAAATTAATATTCATGCACAACTCGTTGTTGTGCAAAAAAAAAAAAAAAAAAAAAAAAAGGATAGTGTAAAAGAGTATTCTAAATTATTATGGGGAGTTAAAAATGATAAGGGTGTGTATATTTCTCCTGGATCAAGCGCAATGCTAGGTCATGAAATCTAAACAATTGTCTTTGAGGTTCCCAAAGCAGAGGGATCTAGCCTTTTGTTCCAGATCTCTGGATGCCTGCACTGGAAACTGAAAGATTATCAGAGAGAGTAAAGAAAGTAAGACAATTCTGAGAGGATACTTGAAATACACTCTCATAGCAACAGAAAGAGGAGGAGATGCATTGACAAGTTTCCACAGATAGGCCTAGCTGCACTTGGATCAACAAAATTCAGAAAGGGAAAAAAACAAACCACCAAAACTGAAATTACACCATGGGCCAYAAGACAAAATGTGAATGATAGGATGATATTGGATAAGCTTAAGACATCTTGATTTCAGAGCAGAATACAGCTAGCAGGGTGAAAAAAGGCCAAGGCAGGAAGTAGTGCACAGTATTTTATTACTTTAATTTAGTTCTGAGTACTTCTTTCATTACTTGGTAAGGTTTCAGTAACCTGTGCTGAGTTCTTGTGTGTGCTGAAAAGAAGAACTATCGTGGTCACGTGCCCCTTCACACAGAAGTCAGAAATTAGCAAGTCAATACTTTTGGAAACGCAAAAGGGAGAAGTACAAAAGATCTTGTGAAGGCCTATGGGAAAAAATGTCATTGCCCTCACAGCTCAGCAACCTACTGCCAGAACGGGTAGCAGACATGAACTTTACCTCAGCCATAAGTATGTAAAATACCTCCACAGGAATTGTTATAGAAACTGCTCCAGTCCCAGGAAGCWAAGGGACCTCTGTATTTGTTTGCATCATGGAAGCTGGAGGAGGGCCCATCAATCAGATGTCAAGAAGATCCATTAGGCTAATGTGGGTTAATGATTCAATAAATCTAATCTTATGTACCAGCCTTTCATCATCTCTGACCTGGGCAAGACCTGAGGTAGGCGGGGTGGTAGGGAAATGCCTAAATGCTTAAATAAATACATAATTATTCCCATTTCCGCTAGTTTTCTTTTGTTGCAATATCTTTTGATGCAGCTGGGAAAGCCTAAGTCAGTAATTAACTGCTACGTACCTTCTCAGAGTCACTGAATTAAATGYCTTAATGACATGGTTCTGTGTCTGGACTAACAATGTTGTTCTTGCCTTTTGGTTTGTTTTTCATGTTTTGTTAGTACTTGGCAGCTGTAGACACCTTTAAATATCTGGAATATGGTGGAAGCAGTACTGATAGATTTGTTCAGCATCCCAGCCAACTTGCAGAACAACATCCAAGGATTACTACACAATGCTCTGGAAGCTGTTGAGAAATGCTCTTSCATCCATGCTCCATGTGTTTATGTCATATGTTGCCAGAGGCAGGGGAGTGAAACAAAAGGTGAACAAGAGTTCTTGCTTCCAGTTTTGAGAGGTTTTCAGGGTCTGAAGGGAAGACTGGATATGGTATRTGCTCAGACTACAGCTGCTGCTTTGTACACCATCAAACAGAGACTGGATGAAAAAGACCTGAGCATCATTAAAGTTATTGTCCCTACCTTAAGAAAAGACTTAATGAAAGTGTATATAGACCATCTCTTTACAGCAGTCTACCAGTTTGATTTTGAGGATTTGCAGGTGGTATCTGACTGTAAAAACTTGCAGATATCTGAACCTCAGCATGAAGGGCAAACACTTACTTGGCAGGACGTGGCACTCATCCGAAGAGAGATTCAGATGTACTTGGAAAGCCTGCCAAGCCTGAAAGGAGAGCTCACCATCCTCAGATCTTCYCTCATCCCAGGTAAAGAGAGTTCCAGCTAATAGTTTTTACAGAGACTGTTACCAAGCATACTTTTTCAAGGGAGTTGCAAAATGGGTAAGATTTGGAAATGCCTTCAGGCATCAAATAACTCTATATGGTGTTGTAATAGTGTATCATGTCTGTAAGACAGAGAAGTGTTAATAGAAATACAGCAAAAGGCTGGCAACTGTTCCAGGCCTGGGCATAATCCAAGGGTAAACAATCCTGGGTTTAGTGAGAGTAGACTATAAGATCTTCTCCCCTCTGTGTGAGAAATACTTTGAGAGTTACCATCATCATTTGGAAAGGTGGGATAAGAGTTTCTGCAGGTTTGCAGCCCYGGACATGCCTGATGTCTCAGTGCCCCTGCCATGGCATGATTATGAGTAAGAAGGAAATTAGGGAGTCTTACATTTAAATGCCACAGCTAAATCCAAGGTAAAGTAATACTCTACTTGACTGGCTGATTCCAGGTCTCTTTAGCGTAAACCCATAGGTGGCCTGATCTTTGTTGAAAGCAATTGTTGTGTTTTCTTGYCTTGCCAGATGATATTTTCTTACATGGGTTCACCACAAGAACAGGTGGGATCTCCTACATACCAACTCTAAGCTCCTGCAATCTCTTCAGCAGCTCCAAGCGGAGGGACCCACAAGTTGTTGTTAAAGAAAATCTCCGCAGGCTAGCTAATGCTGCAGGATTTAACCCAGAGGCTTTTCACAGAGTCAAGGTATCTTATAAAACAATGGATTCAAGTAAATGGATCATATATTCCTTCACATATCACTGGCTAAATTGTAGGCATTATTCTTACCTTTGTCAGCAAGAACTTGTGATAAGCAGGACAAATAAAACATTTATGCTGGCAGTTTATCTGGGGGAATAGCCAGCCAAACTCTCAGCCATTTGGCSCAATATGGAGAAGCAACACTGATTCTTCCAAGTCTGTTCTAACATTTAACTTACCATGGAGTAGAATAAACAGATAAATTATCAGAGCACTTTCTCATAAAAGAAAAATACACCATTTCTTCCATGGTGGCTTTCTACTGATGCATTGGCTTGGCATTTGAACAAGGGAGCACTTGATTTCCATTTGTAATCAGTTAGTGCAGAAGAGTTTTTCATGTCAGAGAAAAAGCCTTGTACTAGTCAGAGCTGGGTTGTTTTGCAGCCATATCACTGTCCACATTCTGGTTTTGTTTTGACAGGTTGATCACGCTAATGCTGTGTGTATTATGGGAAAGACAGAGCCTGACAACTATGATGGAATAGTTACRAATCAGAAGGGTGTCACGCTGGCAGCTCCAGGTGCTGACTGCATACCCGTGCTGTTTGCTGATCCTGTCAGAAAAGCCTGYGGTGCTGCTCATTCTGGTAGGAATTGCATTCCCTGTGCAATGCAAAGACTTCCTGGGAYTCAAACTGAGATACGAGAACTCAAAGCTTTTTTCTATCTATTCCAAACAATGCTCAAGTGCAAACTTGGCTTCTCTCTATTCCAAAAAAATGTCTCTAGCTTGAGCCTGGCTTTTTTGCCCTAAAACAACATTAAATACTTTGACCATATAATAAAAATACATTTCTGGCATCTTCCTGTTGCCATATTCTCATTTGAATGTTTCAAGCACTGAGGTATGCTCTAATTGCCCAAACCATGACACCTAGGAAAAAGAACTCTGAAATTGTAATCTAAACCCTTCTCTCTAGTTTCCATCTCCACAAAATTATATCACAAGACTGATAGCTGTTAATTTGTTTACATACAAATTTTTATGTAAACATACATAATTTGTATGTTTGGTGGGGTTTTGTGAGGTAGTTTATTATTAGAATTAATTGTTTAATTTTAGGTGTAAATGCATCTCCTAATTTATACCTTTAATAATTGAATATATTTTTAGCTATTAGAAAATTTATACAAATTTTTTTTCAACCTCTCATTTCTCATAGGATGGAAAGGCACATTGTTAGGAGTGTCTATGGCCACRGTAAATGCTATGGTATCTGAATATGGTTGTAACATGAAAGATATTCTTGTGGTGCTGGGCCCGTCTGTGGGACCTTGCTGCTATAAACTTCCTCATGAATCAGCAAAAGAATTTAACAAAATTGATCCAAAGTGTGTGCGACTATTTGACTCTGCAAGTCCATATATTGATATCAGAAGAGCAACAAGGTAAGCCTCCTGAGGGAACAAAAGATTAAGTCCACATTCCAAATCAATAATGGTTTTGATACTGTATTATTCAGCACTGATATGGTGAGGGATCTCAACAAAGTGCTCTCTAGTTCTTTACAGGTCAACAAAASATACCTTTGAATGAATGGTATTTGCTCACTTTTGCTTTGTTTCACCTATTATTTTATTATTATACTGTTGGTATATGGATTATAGACAAACGTTCAAATTTAATGTGGTTTTATGGGTTGCAGGAAAGCAATTATTTTAGTCTAATACTGAAGAAAAAAGCAAGAAAAGCAAGTGGAAGCCCCAATCACAATATTGGCACAGTTTGTTCAGTTGGTACTTGAGGTTCTGCCTTAATGATAGTGCMTTATGGAATGTGAGAATGTAAAAAAATATTATTTTCTGTTTCTTTCTGTAAGGATTCTTCTTGAGAGAGGTGGGATTCCTCCTGAGAACATCCAAGATGATTCTGTCACAGACCAGAGCCAAAATATCACTTTCTGTACTGCCTGCCACCCTGATAAATTTTATTCTCACTTTCGTGATGGCACTAACTTTGGGACACAGATTGGCTTCATATCAATCAAAGATTGAGACAGATCTCCAGTTCCTCCAGAACATCATCTAGATAATAAGTATGCTACATTGTCTGGCATCCTGATCTCCTCATTGCAGTAGAGAACTTCACAGACTTGCAGTAGGGAGTTCATGGGTCCTGAGATTCTCCTRCTTCTTCCTTTCCTTGCTGTTGTGAGGCAAGAGTGAGCACCTTGTGGTGTGAGGACAACAGTTCTTGTGTGAGACAAGCTGCAAAGGAAACAAGGACAGCCCTTACCAGTGGCAAAATCCTTCTACAAGACCCAGATAAAAGCTCCAAGTTTATGGATGTTCCTTGACCAAATCTTTTCCAGAAGCCTCACTATCTCAAAGTGGTTGAAGCAGAAAAAACTCCAGTCTTCATTAGCTTCTGGTTGAGACTACTGAATGACATGAAGYATGAGATTGCTAATACAGGAAGAGAAACCACTATTACACATTACCTGTTTGAGAAACCTGACTTTTATAGTTTTAGCTGAAACCTTAAGAAATTTTGTGCATAGGATTGATTTTCTTATTTGGATTAGTTTTAAGAGCTCCCAAGATATTTACAGGACTTTTCCTATGGAAAATAACTTGAAAGTGAGAAGTAAGCAGGCTCCTTTGGGGTAGCCATTGAAAATACATGAAAGAATCTCTCAAGATTCTGTAATTTTTGGTTGTGGGGAAAGTAGGACTAAAACTCTGAATTTATGATKTGTATGTTCATGTTTCCTTTGGATTTTTCTCTTTAAAAAGTTGGTGCTTTGATAATGTCCATTGACCCAGTCTCAACAATGCCAAGTTATTAAATAAATKTCAAAAATTTGAGTGAATTTAGCCTCAGTTAATTTTACTGACCAGTAGCCGGACTTCCATGTCTTACTAAGCAAATTGTACACGTGCACTGTTTTCTTTTGGACATGAAAAAATTGCCTCTAGATTTTACAATAGACATGATGTTTTCTGACACACAGACAGGGAGCGATTGCTAACAGTGAACTGTGCTAACARAAAGCTGTGCTGACTGCGACTTGCAGAGGAGCCAAGCACAAGCCTTGGGCCAGTGGTGTGTATGACGTACTTTCTATTTTGGATTTGGCGACATTTCTTCGGTCTGACTGTTCTGCCCACTAGAGGTCAGTGCTCGCTCGCTCTGCACTTCCATCCTGGCGGCACAGATGGATGGATTAGGGGGTCCTATCCATGCGGTTTGCAAGGCACTGTACAGCACACGCTGCTACTTTTGCCTCTACAGTAATCTGCCAAGTTATTCTAATATCTGTGCTTGAAGAGTAATCTGTTTTCTTTTTGATTCGGAGCTGATGGAATTAGAGCTTTCCTTGTATTCTTGAAGAACACATTTTTTTTTTAAACTTCGTTTTACCCGTGAATGATATTTCTCAGAAAAGAGCCTGGCTCTGAGTACGTTTTCTCTGACTGTAACCATCAACCAAAAAAAGAAAATGTTTCTGCCAACTATCCTATCCCTTCTTCAGAAATATTACTCCTCTTCTGCTGTAGCACTGCAGTCTTTGACAATTTTCAGTTACCTTTTTAAAACCCCTCCATTGCTTTCACCATTCTGTTTCCCTTGTAACTTCACTGTGGTGATGTCCATAGCTGGAGTCAATCTGGAAGCTCAGAATCCAACAGGGGAAACACTCACACTACTCAGTTTAGTGCTGCCCGAGCACATTGCTGCACACCAGCTAATGGTGTGTATGGTGTGTACTACATGTTTTATTGACTTGTTCTAAATAAAGGATAATATAATTATATGGACATTGACAGGCCTGTCTTGCTGCTCTAGTTGAAAAAAAACAACAGCCTACCTTCACCTATTAGTTCTGTCTCTTTGCTCTGATAGCTGTACCACTTTATGGATACTGATTGACGCAGCAGTAGGGGCAGCACCACTACATAGCTTTCAGTCCCTGCACCTGAAGCTCAGCCAAAGATTGTCTCTTGGTGCCCTTCACTTAACCCTCTTCCCTTGTGGATTAAGGGTATGCCATCAAAAACAGCTGAGCTACTTGGCTTTGCAAGGTATTTGACATCTGAAGCATCACAGGGGCCYGTGTGCCTGCTGTTATTTCTTCTCTCACCTCAAAGATGGTTTTAAACTAATGCATTTATCCTTGCAGTAAGTAGAAAGACCTTGTAACCATGCTGATATTACCATAATGATAGTAAGCCCTTGCTTGTTCATACCTGCTCAAGAATTACACTAGAGACTTTATGTTTAGAAAAATGCCATTTACAGGTCATGGTAGGACTGTGCAAGCTGGAGAGAATATCAGAATGAACAGAAACACCAAAGACTTCACTTTTTAGATGACAAATCATTACCACAATTGTTCCTTTTTTTCTTTTACATTTATTGCCTAGACTGTAAACCTTTCAAGACAGGAAAGAGTCTTTTGCACTTGAGTGACTGAGGTGGAAGACTCCGTGACCAATTAGAAAATATTGTAATGTTCAGTCCCAATAGAGGCTAGGCTCCAAATTATAGGGGTTTTTTTCAAAAGTCCGTGCTACAAAGGTTGTTTTTGGTTTTTTTTTTTCAAAAGTCCTTGCATTTTAATTCTGGTATTAAAATAGAAAAATTTAGAGGAAGGGCATGGTAAGAGGAAGACTAGGCTATTTCACATCTATGTTTATTTACTTTTCATTCCTGTTGCTCACTGAAGGAGGCAAGCACATAACCCGATTCACCCCCTCTTRGTAAACTCTTAAAATGTTTCATAAATTGTTCAGCTGTACCTAACTAGTTATGAGATCCCACTTATTAACCTAATATCCATTGAATTTATAAGCTGTATTTGCCCTATTATTGTTACTAAATTACATTATTAATTATGATAATGGTGTGCCCTGAGGCAAGCGCAAGACACGATCACATTGARTATTGGTTTTGGTAGTTGTTACTGTGCAATAAGCAGTTGTTACTATTGTAGATTCTAAATATGGTCCTCTTTATTCACATTRCATACTTGAATGGAGTGTACTAAAACATGTCTGAGAAAAGCTTAATTCACTATTCCAGTACAACACTGCCAGCAGCTCTAACACTGCCTTCCACCTGGGGAAGCAGTGTGCGACTTCAGAGGTATAGATCAAAGCCTGAGATAATTAGTGAAATGTTTATCCAAACCATGGCATTTATTGCCACAGGTATGGCGAAGGTGAAAACTATTAAGGAAGTTAGATGAAAAATGATTTTAATGCATTCATAGGGGTTAGTTCCATCAGTCCGTGTTAGTCTCTTTATACCGACAACCAGAGGAGACAAAAYGGGGGAAAGAGTTCTGCATTTGACAGCTGCATTTGTCATTGGCTACAAATTCAGAAGCCATGGGCCTGAATGTTCAGCAAAGCTTTTGATCACATCTTGACTCACAGAAAATATGTAATCCCTCCCAAATTACAAGCATTCAATTGCAAGAAAATGTCTCCTTTCCCCAGCATGGTTTTGCAAAGTGGTCATCTTCAACTCCAGTCTTGTTTTCCTCATGCTTATCTCTTGTGCATCACTGTATTTCTGTCCAGCACCACTCACAGTTGCCCTATGAGGACTGAGAATCTGGTCACAGGGGTTTGGAAGACACAGATGCCATTCTGCACAGAGCAGCACTGGTGTTGCTTTCTTTTGCGTGCTCGTGCTTCTTTCCTTTTAGCAGCAGTGTGAAACTTCTTGTTCTCAGCACAAGATCTTTATCACCATCCTCCAAACCATTCCCATTTTATAGGTTTCCATAAGAGCTCCCACTTTCCAGCTTACATGGCAAAGAAGTCAATATTCCTAGGTTCCCTCAGTGCTGTCCTCATTTCCACTCCGTGSTCAATTTGCTGCTGGGCAATGCAGAGGGAGATGAGCTGCATTCATTTGTCCCGAGGCCCAGAGGGGCTGCGCGTGTGCACTTGCCTTGATGTCATGTGTGTGAAGCTTTTGTTCTCTGAGTACCAAAGCCCTTCCTGAACTCCAGCCTCTTGTGCTATGATATTAACAGGACAGTGCACTGAYGGGAGTAGTAAATCCTTTATGTGAYAGAGGAAATAATGTATTGACCTGCTGAGGTATTTACATACCTCCAAAGACTGGGAGCAAGCTCTGCCTATGAGGCTGGCTTGTTCTACTTTCTATTTCCAGCGGATACTATCCAGTCCTTACAGATGAATGGTTTGGATAGATATGTACATGGATTTAAGAACTGTCCAAATTGAGCATATTCTTRCATCCAGGATGCTACTAATCATTATCCAGTGTAACATCTTTTTATAACACACAGAGATTTTGCTGTTGTGCTTGCTTTAAATATACAGTGCCTGTGGCTGTTCTGCTAAAAAGCATGATTATGTATTTCCCAAAGGCATGCAGAGAAATAGGAAGCTAGCTTTTTTAAGTGATCCCTCTGATCTTTCATTAGTAAGCATTTAATTTACAGTAGTGTCTCACRTTACAAATACTTGTCTGTCTGTCTGCAAGTTCTCAGGGGTGAGAGAAGACCCACAGAAAAATTTCAGGAGCATGGTCCCCAAAGGAGAGCAGGACTGAGTTCTCTCTCTTATCCTTTTACAAATGCAGCATCATGTCTCCAGGGCAACCTGAATCCTGACAGTCATAGGAGCAAGGACATGACATGGATTTCTATTTGATTCCTGCATCTGAAAAGAGATCTGAGACAAAAATCAATATGTGACTTAACTAAGAGAGTTCTTTTCACAATTAATTTTATCAGAGGGTTCATTTTCTCTCATCTTGTGCAAATGTAATTCACAGCTACTAACTACTGTGTTTGTTTTGTTCATGTTTCCTCCTCTACATGTAGCAAAGGTCTAAATATATGAAATAAATAGGTTGCAACATAAAAATGAGGGGTAAGCCTACCATAAAACTGAACAAGCATTTTATAAGGGAGCCTGAAAACAATGTATTTCAAGATGTATAATTTCATTTTTTCTCAAATGATGCAATATTTTTAGGCAGCAAATCATAGTTCTGGTCAGATGTTTAGATTGAAAGCAATTTTTCCAATGACAACTATCTAAAATAAATACCTTAGCATGTCTTTTTGAGGCACTGAGTTCTATCCTAAAGCAATATTGAAGCATATGTTGCAGCTAAAGGAAAACATTTCTGTTCTGCTTTGGTTATCTTTCTTAGAAATATGTGAGCTTGACTTTCCTGCACAAGAATGAATCACAAAAACTCAGCTGTAAAAACAAAATTGTGACAGGTAACTCAAATACTTTCAGTTGGTTTTAATATGTGCTTTTAGTAAGTGCTTCATAAAATCATCATTAAAGAAAACTGGGTCATGCAGATGCTTTTATTTTGACTCTGCTTTCTTCTTTATGTCATCCCCATAAAAAGCTGCAGGACATAAAAGGTGAGCCAATCAAGAAACTCCTTAGAGAGGCTCCTTTAGGCTTATGGATGTCTATTGCTGTATTYGATGCTTAGATGTTCCTCAGTTCCATCAATTACCCTGCAACTTGGATCCACGGGTTCCCTCAGCTCATGTAACTCCATGCTAGCAATGGCAGAAACACAGATGTAGAGTTGATATTGATGTTTATGTTGTAGCTTTTCTTCAAATTATGTGGTGCTTGCATAAATGACATTGTGACAAAAGTATTGTGCCATGATGGTGAGATATTTTGAGAAAAAACTCCTGAACAACCTTGCATTCATTTAAGCTTTTAGGGGCTAGGTCAGTAGCAAATTTTTGCTTTTCATGAGACTGGGAAAGTTAAAGATAATTCTGCACTCTCATCTAATAAATGAGTTCATCAGAGAGGAATACTTTGGGTTTTAGTCTTGTCCTGTGCATAATTATATTTCTCTAATTTCTTTTAATAATGGCTCCTTAAAAAGGACTGTCTATGTGTATGTTGGCTAGGTGGTACAAAATTCAGCTGACCTCTCATCATTAGTTTACATTACTATTTAACATAAAAATCTGTTAGAAAATACAGGCACCACAAAATGGGGAAGTTGGACTGCTCATGCTTAAATGTTCTTGTAGGAGAAAGGATAGAGAAGATGTAGACAGACAAAGCTGGTTTCAATATCTTCAGGATGACATATTTCAATACAACTTTAGAAGCAACTCTTCATGTYCTGTTTTGAATATTAAGAGTACTCTGAAATAAACTTTTAAACTGAAGGACCATTGCAAATTAAAATAAATATTAAAATCTCAATTTATGCTGAAAAGAGCCTGTCTTCCACAAAGCTCATCTTACTATTTATGTAAATCTATCTGCATGAGCCAGTCCTCTTATTTCTTCAGTAAACATTTCCTTCATAGATTGTAGATTATGGTGTTCCCTTCAATAAATGTTTAGCTAAGTTTTACGTACAACTTTCAGTTCCATTTGTCTTTCTTAAGATAATCTTTCAGCTCTTAATTTTCTGAAATCTACCTCATTTATGTCAATTAAATGTTAATCAGTTTTCATTTACATGCTGTTTTAGGAGGAGAGTGACATTAGGACTTTGTACAGAGACTTTTTTTCCTGGTAGCTTGCAAAGTTGCACTTTTTGATATAAAAAAAAAAAGCTTGAAGCAGCCATAACTGAATGACCTTGGTCTCCCTCTATTCCCTGTTTTCCAAAAGAGTCATAACCTATCACACTTCAATTAGGATTTATTTTAGGCTTCCCAGCTATAACTCATAATCTATCACATTGTTCCAGAAACAATATTCATGAAGGAGGCTCAACCCAGAAACKGAAAAATAGATGGTATTTTTGAGGCTAACACAAGATTTATGGTAAGAGAACATTTATTGCTTAAGTAAAAACTTTTTAAGTATCTGAGGTTGGAAAGCTGATGCTAGGAAACTAAAATATGGAAATAATTTCACAATTTTTGCAGGGAGAAAGAATACCCATATGWGTGACAGAGAAAATTCCTTGAATTATATTCACTTCAGGACTAGATGCCTTTGTACACACTCATTTATCCCTAGCAAACTGGCAGAGGCTGGAAGGAAAGAACGAAGCTGTCTGCCCACTGTAATAAATTGTATCAGAAAGGAGGGGTACAGCAGCGTTCCTTTTAGCAAGTGAGCTAAAGAGTGCTCAGGCTAATGATGAACCACTTGCTACAGAGCCAATAACTGAGACTGCAAAAGCAGCCAGTCATTCCTTGGCTCTGCAGCAGTCTTGCAGGCTGTTATACATAAACAGAAGCAGGGAACAAAAATCTCATTTGGGATGCAGCTAGCCCAAAACAAATATCTGTGGTGAGACACTCTTGGACACAAGAGGCAGAAAGCAACAGCATCATGATGATGAYGATATTTGTCTACCTGCCTACTGAAGATTTAGTGCAAGAAGAGCTTATCCACGTTGAAATATGGCCCCCTACCTTATTGTCCAAGCAGAGAGTGGTTGTGCCAAGCATCTTTCTGTGTGCAGCTATTTATCCCAGTTGTTAAATCTATTGAKGTTTCTTTGTGCCATCAGAATCTTTCTCCAGAACCTGTAAGGGTTGGAGTATTGAATGCTTATGGA